CCACTGTCAGTAGACAGGATACTGGGCTGGATGGACCTTTGGTCTGACCCAGTACGGCCATTCTGATGTTCTTATGTTCTCACCCTCTGGGGCATCTGGCATTGGCCACTGTCAGTAGACAGGATACTGGGCTGGATGGACCTTTGGTCTGACCCAGTACGGCCATTCTGATGTTCTTATGTTCTCACCCTCTGGGGTATCATTACAGTTCCCTGGAGGCTGGTTATTAACCTGCCTACGCCACCTATTGCAACCTGAAATCTGGATTTTGCTGCAGAAGGCCCATCTCTCTCCCCCGCCGCCCCCCCAGCGTTTTGTTTAGCGGCTGAGGTGTATGAATAGGATCGTCAAAGGGACCGTATAGCATCTTTAGACTCTTTAAGGGCAGGGTGGCTTTTATAGCTCACCACTAGGGTGACCAGACAGCAAGTGTGAAAAATCGGGACAGGGGGTGGGGGATAATAGGATCCTATAAGAAAAAGACCCAAAAATCGGGACTGTCCCTATAAAATCAGGACATCTGGTCACCCTAGCACACCCCCAGGGAGTGGCGGGGACCCAACACGTGAAATGGAGCTCATTAATAACCGATCAACAGCATATATGATGCAATGTACAGAATATATAATTTTATTATTTATATAGTTATGGAAAGTAAATAATACATGGGAGAAATGAAAGGCTTTTTTTTACATTATTTTTTTTGTTAGTCATCCCTGCCGGGGTCCCACCAAAAATGTTCGAATTGGGACCCGCCCTTCCTAAAGCCGGCCCTGGTGACCGTGAATGATATCACTCTCCTGAGGATAATAAAGAGAGATAAGGAATGGATGTTGTCTGCATGCCAGCAAACACCGGGACCATACGCTGCCATGCTTTGTTATGCAATGATTCCAGACTACATGCTACTGGCCTGGCATGGTAAAGTGTCCTACCATGGCACACAGTTGGGGTAGTGGTGGCTGCACCCCCTAGCATGGCATGCAGCTCCGCGTAGAAGTGGCATGTTTGCGGCTCTGTCCCGGACATTCCATTTGCCTCTCTGGCTTTGTGGTAGGCTTGCCGTAGCTCCTTAATTTTCACGCGGCACTGCTGTGCGTCCCTTTTATGACCTCCGTCCTTCATGGCCTTGGAGACCTTTTCTAATATTTTGCCATTTCGTTTACTGCTATGGAGTTCAGCTAGCACTGATTCATCTCCCCATATGGCGATCAGATCCCGTACCTCCCGTTCGGTCCATGCTGGAGCTCTTTGCTATCCTGGGACTCCATCATGGTTACCTGTGCTGATGAGCTCTGCATGGTCACCTGTGCTCTCCACGCTGGGCAAACAGGAAATGAAATTAAAATGTTCGCGGGGCTTTTCCTGTCTACTGGTCAGTGCATCTGAGTTGAGAGTGCTGTCCAGAGCGGTCACAATGAAGCACTGTGGGATAGCTCCCGGAGGCCAATAACGTCGAATTCCGTTCACACTACCCCAATTCCCACCCGCTAAGGCCGATTTTATCGCTAATCCCCTCGTCGGAGGTGGAGTAAAGAAACCGGTTTAAAGGGCCCTTTAAGTCGAAAAAAGGGACTTCGTCGTGTGAACGTGTCCAGGCTTAATTCGATTTAACGCTGCTAAATTCGACCTAAACTCGTAGTGTAGACCAGGCCCCCAAGACTCTTCCATCTCCAGTGTTTGTTCATGAGGGATAAATGGCCTCCGGCACCCAGGAATCACCAGTTTGGCTCCTGCCGTCTGCCGAGCTCTCTCTGGGCGGTTGCAATTCCTCGGAAGTGGGATTTTGTTAAACCCCCTGGTCACAAGTCTTTGGTTCTTTTGATGGACCGGCTCATGGTCACTGTGCTGCCCTCTAGCTGGATACAGAAGAATTGCTGGCTACAAGGTATTACAGCTCACCCTGGCATTTCAGGCTTTGTCCCACTTCCCTGTCCGAGGATCAGGGCCGGCTCTAGGATTTTTGCCGCCCCAAGCAAAAAACAATTTTGGCCGCCCCCCCCCCCCCGTGTTTTTCTTACCCCACCCCCGGCCCTCGCCTCAACTCCGCCCCTTCCCCAAATCCCCAGCCCTGCCTCCTCCCCCCAGGCTCTCAAGCCTAGGAGGGAGGGAGGGAGGGGGAGAAGCGGCACGCGCGCTGCGGCCACTCGGAGTCTCCCCCTCCCTCCCAGGCTCTCAAACCTGGGAGCGGGGGTGAGCAGCAGTGCGCAAATCAGCTGTTTTGTGCGCCGTGGCGCATGAGCGGCAGCAGCGAAGGTGAGCTAGGGCGGCCGGGGCACATTTATAGGGGTGACATTCTGGCGCCGGCCATGCTGCCCCTAAAAATGTGCCGCCCCAAGCACCAGCTTGTTTTGCTAGTGCCTACAGCCGGCTCTGCCAAGGTAAACAGGCCCAGATCAGTCGTAGCCCACTGTATATAACCGACTGAAGACTCAGACATTGCATGGCACAGTCTGCACTCACCAGGGAGATCCCGCACCTGGGCATGAGAGCTCCTAGGTGCTCCACCTTCTAACCCACACTAGCAACCACATTCCCTGAATCGCGTATTCCAGGTTTCACTACCCACCAGGGATCTACACAAGTCTGTGCTCCCATCCCATGTAGCCACCTGAATGCGGGCCAGAGCTTAGCCATTTCTCAGCACACAGCTCCACTGGTGACCCTCAGGGACCGGGTCAGATTTTCCCAGCAGCTCCGCACCAACAAGCTGAAGTCAATTCAAACCAGTTCTGGCATGTAAATGGAAGGTTGGCTCTTTGCCAGTTCTAACCCGGATTAAAATGTGTGATAGTTCCAGCTCCAGATGTGGCAATGGGCACCTGTCACAGCGGTTCTATACTGAGATCTGACCGGGGCCTCTGTGTGAAATGTGTCAGACCTGAATGGACAGTCCTGGAACACAGGACTCCTTGTGGTTTTTGTTTGTTTGTTGTGGGTTTTTTGGTGGGGGGGTTGTGTGTGATAAAACCCTGTTTTACTTTCCTACCCGGCAGGGAGCTGATGCAATGCATGGTGCATTAAAGCTCTCTCAATGTCTGCATGGAAACAGCTTCTCCTTTCTGTACCAGTCCCTGCTTTGCTCTGTGTCACTGTGTAATTTCTCCTCCTGGTGCAGTAATAGGTGGCGGTGTCTGCAGCTGTCAGCGAGCGGAGCTGCAGGGAGAACTGGTTCTTGGCCGTGTCTGCAGAGATGGTGACTCGGCCTTGGAGAGACGGGGCGTAGCCTGTCTCCCCGCTATTGTATGGGTACACATACCCCATCCACTCCAGCCCTTTCCCAGGGGGCTGCCGGAGCCAGTGCCAATGGTAATGCTGAGTAGTGATGGAGAACCCGGAGACAGCACAGGTCAGGGTGAGGGTCTCTCCGGGCTTCTCCGCTCCTGGGCCGGACTGGACCAGCTGCACCTGAGAGAGGACACCTGGGGAAACAGGATAAAAGAAAAGAAAAGAATTAACCACCGAAAGAATCTATGGATCTGTTCCTAATGTCCCTGCTGCCCCGTAGACACTCACAGCTGGGGGCGGAGAACAGGGACAGGAAAAGCAGCAGCGATTTCATTCTTGTTTCATACAATGAGGGAAACTCCCCAGCGGGCAGGACCGGGCGGTTCTGTGTCTGGGGAGAGACTGAGGCTCCTAGAACCAGGGGTCTGTATTTAACAGGAACCCCCGGGGCAGGATTTGCATGTGGGTTCCCAGGGCGGGTATAAGAGATGACGGGGGGGGGGGGGGCTGAGCGCTCAGTACATGGTGATGTCCCCTCAGGGGTCCTGAATATCCTGAAGTGGTTTCCCAATGTGGGAGCCTGGAGACACAGAGAGCCTGGTCCCCAGGGGTGAGGCCAATGGGAGATACAGGCACTGGGCATCTGGAGATTAGGATCAAGGTGTGTCGGGATAAGTGCCCAAAATATGAGCCCAAGCCATCACTCCTGTCTCAGTGAGTCTCTGGGTGCACTTGTCACTGCGCAGCACGAAGAAGTGGAGTGTTTAAAGCCCCTTGGTGGAAGGGGCTGGGAGAGGGTGGGATGTCGGGGAGAAACGCGGGTGGCTCCTGAGACCCCGCTGTGGGCAATGCCCCACCTGTCTGTCTCATCCCCTAGCGCATGGACTGTGTGTTCCAGTCGGCTGGTGCTTTAGAAATCCACTTCTCCTTTTTGTGCCCTTCCCAGCTTTGCTCTGTGTCACTGTGTGTGGCGGCCACAGTAATAGGTGCCGGTGTCTGCAGTTGTCAGCGAGCGGAGCTGGAGATAAACTTCATCCTTCGAGGTGTCCCTGGTGATGGTGACACGAGGTGTGAAAGCCGAGTTATACTCTGTGGTCCCCCCGTTAACTGTGTGTCGGATAAACCCCATCCACTCCAGCTCTTTCCCAGGGGGCTGCCGGACCCAGCTCCAATAGTAGTTGCTGACGGAGACTCCAGAGACTTTACAGGTGATACTGAGGGTCTCTCCAGCTTTCACCGTCCCCAGGCCGGTCTGGACCAGCTGCACCTGAGAGATGACACCTGGGGAAAGGGGAACAAAGAGAGGAATGAATGAATCACGGAACAAATTTATGGATCGGCCCCTATTTCCCTCCTTTCCCAGAGACACTCACAGGTGAGAGCAGAGAGCAGGGAAAGGAAAAGCAACAGAGATTTCATTCTTGTTTTCATAGAATGAGGGAAGCGGGCAGGGCAGGGCAGTTCTGTGGTTGAGGGGATGCCGAGGTTCCTATAGAACCAGGGGTTGGTATTTAACAGGAACCCCCGGGGAGGGATTTGCATGCGGGTTCCCCAGTGCGGGTATAAGAGACGGCGGGGGGGTGTGCTCAGTACCTGGCGATGTCCCCTTTACAGCAGAGAGAGGGGCACTGTGCCCAGCTCAGCACACATAGAATGACAGGAGGTGGCTGTGAGGGT